TGTAGCGGCTGCCTGAAGGGAGAAGCGCAAACAGGTTGTGTCCGGGGTGAGAGGGGTCTTTGATGATGTTACCTGCCCGTTTCTTCACTCTGGAGGTGTTCAAGTCCTGAAGACTGGGCAGGTGCACACCAATGATCCTTTCTGCTGTCCTAACAGTCCGTTGCAGTCTTCTTGTATCTGATTTGCTGGCTGACCCAAACCAGGCAGTTATAGAAGAGCACAGAACCAACTCAATAACAGCTGAGTAAAACTGTGTCATACGCCTGTGGCAGGTTGAACTTTTTCAGCTGACAAAGGAAGTACAACCTCTGCTGGGCCTTTTTCACAAGTCAATGTGAGTGTCCCACTTCAGATCCTGTGAGATGGTGGTTCCCAGGAATCTGAATGACTCCACTGCAGCCACAGAGCTGTTCATGATGGTGAGTGGGGGGAGAGCAGGGGGGTTTCTCCTGAAGTCCACGATCATCTCCACTGTTTTGAGCATGTTGAGCTCCTGGTTGTTGTGACTGCACCAGACAGCCAGCTGCTCAACCTCTTGTCTGTAAGCAGACTCGACGCCGTCCTGGATGAGACTGATGACTGTGGTGTCGTCTGCAAACTTCAGGAGCTTGACAGAGAGGTCTTTAGAGGTGCAGTCATTTGTGTAGAGGGAGAAGAGCAATGGGGAGAGAACACAGCCCTGAGGAGCTCCGGTGCTGATGGTGCAGGTGTTGGATGTGTTTTTTCCCAGCCTCACTAGCTGCTGCCTGTCTGTCAGGAAGTTGGTTATCCACTGACAGATGGAGGTGGGCACAGAGAGCTGGGTCAGTTTATTCTGAAGGGTGTCCGGGATGATGGTGTTGAAAGCGGAGCTGAAGTCCACAAACAAGATCCTTGCATAAGTCCCTGGTTTGTCCAGATGTTGGAGGATGTAGTGCAGTCCCATATTGACTGCATCATCCACAGACCTGTTTGCTCCATAAGCAAACTGCAGGGGGTCCAGCAAGGGTCCAGTAATGTCCTTGAAGTAGGCCAACACCAGTCTCTCAAATGACTTCATGACCACAGATGTTAAAGCAACAGGTCTGTAGTCATTAAGTCCTGTGATTTTTGGTTTCTACAGGGATGATGGTGGAACATTTGAAGCAGGAGGGGACTACACACAGCTCCAGGGATCTGTTGAAGATCAATGTGAAGATGGATGATAGCGGGACAGCACAGGCTTTGAGGCAGGCTGGAGAGACATCGTCTGGGCCTTTGGTTTTCCTTATCTTCTGCTTTCTGAAGACTTTGCATACATCCTCTTCACAGATCTTGAGTACAGGTTGAGAAACACCATTTGTATGTGTGTGTACCATACATCATACACCAAACACCATACACTATTATATGTGTATACCAAACATACCAAACACTATTAAGATAGTGATCTTTCTGATTCGTTCTTTCTCTATTTCTCTCCTTCTCTCCATTCCAAATATTTCCAACTCACCTGCTTGCAATTTTTCAAGCAATATGTATTAAAGATTGTTGCGTGCTGAATGCAGCCAGTCCGTTCTATTTACTTTCACCAAAATAACTTTGAGAAGCAAAAAAATGCTTAGAATACATTTGCAAGAAATTTTTTTTTTCCAGAAAGGGTGGGAAAAGAATATCGGAGTAAACTGGGCATGAAGAGGACAGAGAGAGTGACGAAGGAAAGCAATCTTGTTAGCGGGCTGCTGTAGCCCAGGGAAGATTTCTATCACATGCACATATAGGGAGAGGCATCCATTTAGAAAATGGCTTTTTCTGCACATGCTGGGCCATTTAGCACTCCCTGTGACGACTCCTGTTTGGGCCAGAGATAAATGCGCTTTCACAGACTCACTGCACACACACACACTCAGACCACAGACTCAGCAATCTCCAGCTACTGAGAGTGCAAACACAGGCTTGCATGCATTCAGTGTCTCAAACTGATTTTCTAAAAGACACACACACACACACACACACACACACACACACACACACACACACACACACACACACACACACACACACACACACACACACACACACACACACACACACACACACATACGAATGGACAGATAAAAAATTATTTTGCCTTGGCCTCCCTATCAGTTACTGTGTATGCCAGCTGAATATATTTAATGCTAACATACAAAAACTGCCAGAGCTTAAAAATAGTAATAGCCAGAGATACAATTTACTTCAAATAATTAGTTAATATTTAAATATATATTTAAAATAGTATGTGTGTGTATACCTGTTTTTCTATTCTGGTGGAGACTTAAACCTGAATACACACAGACTCATGAGGACTCATTTTACGGTGGGGACCTAAATGGAGGTCCCTACGGGTAAACAAGCTAATAAATCAAGTTTTTTGAAAACAATTTCCTGTAAGGGGTACACTCTTAAAAATAAAGGTGCTTCACGATGCCATAGAAGAACCTTTTTGTCTATATGGTTCCATAAAAAACCTTTAACATCTGAAGAACCTTTCTGTTTCACAAAAGGGTCTTTGTGGCGAAAGAAGGTTCTTCAGATTACAAAAAGGTAAGAAAGAGATGGTTCTTTAAAGAACCTTTGACTGAATGGTTCTTTGTGGAACCAAAAATGGTTCTTCTATGGCATCGCTTGAAGAACCTTTTGAAGCACCTTTATTTTTAAGAGTGTAGGTTTAGGTGTAGGGTTGGTGTAGGGCAATAGAAAATACGGTCTGTACAGTAGAAAAACCATTATGCCTAAGGGTGCTCCGATTGATCGGCTACCGATCACTATCGGCCGATAATCACCTTGGGATGATTGATCGGCGGTGTGTAAAAAGGCCGATCTCAAAAAAACGATCTCAAGCTGATTACGCTGCCGTGAGAGGTTTGGCATGACATGCAGCGGCACCGTCTCAGTCTCTGTCCGGCGCGGGTGAAATAATTATAATGCTGAAGGTGAGGTATTTCTTCATTAAATAATTTATAAAGTAATTTGAAAACCTTGTGTGAGATGTAATTTCACAAACAGCGTGTGTGAATCACCACTCGCGCGCGCTCTCTCTCTTTCGCTCTCAAAATACGCAAATGGCATCAAATCACCACACATCGCGTCTGTCTATGAGCGAGCTGCAAGCTGCACAGTTGACACAGGAATTGTCACTTGCACAGTCGAGGCAGTCACACATCGTCACTAAAGTTTATAAATTGCATTTCTTTTTAATTCTTGCCAGTATTTAAAGCATTCAGTGCTCGCACGTTCTCCTGGAGACCGTGCGCTCATGCACATTCGCAGCTGCACACACATAACGCCAGGTTCACATTACTCCGTTTGCAGTGCATACGTAGTGTGTATTTTTTCCCGTGCTCATGTTAACGGAATAAAGCGTTCACTGCACACGGTTGCGGTCCGGCAGTGCGCTCAGTAGTGGTGCGTCTGCAGCAGTGCAGAGATCGTTTTGCAGTAAATATGAAAATGGATTAACACGAAAATGTAGTAATTACACCACAAATGCATATTATTAAAGTCTACTGTTTTTCACAGTCAACACATATGCCTTTTTGGCTAGGTTTAAAGGGAAAGAGCACTTTTAGATAAAGAAGGCAATAATAGATGGCACTCGTGGAGGAAGGAAAACAAAGTTCTTTATGAACCGCAGGATTGCTTGTAATAAAGATTTAAATGCAAAAGAAAAGGCAGTAGAGCTGACTATTTCTGTCAATGGTAAGTTTGTGATAACGTAAGAAAAGTAGTTTAAATGTTTTGTCAATTGCTTGAGCAACTTAATATATCAATCTAGAAGTAAATGCAAAAGTAAAAAGCATTATTTATTGCATTTAAACATGTCTGTGAAAGATTGTATTACTGTACTGTGTAAAAAAAAAAGAATTGCAATGCTGAAAAAGCATTTTCAGTGACAATGTTTGGATTTGAAATCAAAATAATGGATATTGTGTTTGTGGTAAACAGCCACGGATCAGTAGCGGACTGCTGTGTGAAAGCTGCTTCCCCTGCTTCCCCTCTCACAAGAGTCACCTAAGAGGGGAATTCAGTAGCGGACTGCTGTGTGAAAGCTGCTTCCCCTCTCACAAGAGACACCTAAGAGGGGAATTCCCCCCATTTTCAAAAACGAAATTCAGGCCCTGAATAAATGTATAAAAATCCTGACTGGAGTATCACTATAAATAGTTATAAATGATAAAAAAGAAGGCTTTAAAAAGATTGGTATCGGTGATCGGCAGATACTGCTTTCTGTGATCGGCAATCAGCCTCAAAAATCCTGATCGGAGCACCCCTGTATATATATATATATATTCAAGTGTATATACAGAAATATAAATTTGGTATTATATTACAGCATTTTATATATTTTTTATTTATGTTTTATTATTCTAATATAGTAATATACAAATATAATAATAATAATAATAATAGAATTTGAGATAGTGAAAATGATTCAACTTTTCAATATTATAGTGTTTTAGATTATTATTTTAATTTCAGATTTTCACTCAAATTGTTACACCTATAATCTAATTTTTAATAATAAAAAAAAATGTATGGCCTCAGACTATTTAAATAATAACAGATTATTTCACACAATTCAACAAATGATACAGAATTATCATTTAACATGTGAAACATACATGTGAAATACTGTACACAATACAAAATATATAGTACTTCAGGCTTTCAGAATCTATTGTGAAATTATTGCTTAGTGCTCAAGACTCTGACCGCTGTCAACAGAAAATGATTGTTATGAAATGTCACTATTGAAACGACCACAAAAAACACTGCTATTACTGTAATTATCTTATGCAACCACTGTTATCATAACATCATAAACAAGTTAAAGCTTCTTCCTAAGGCATCACAACAAAGGTAAATAATACAGTGTGATTATTATGGTCGATTCCACACTGATGTAGTGAAGAGAGACAGCTTTGCCCTAAAAACGACACAATATTTTTCCATCTAGCATTGCAGTATGGTGTAAAACAAGTTAAAGATGTTCAACTTACTCCTTTCATTTGCTGGACTCCAGTGACGAGCTGCAACACCTTCTCCAGTTCCTTCTCTATGCGACCTGCCCAGTGCATCATCCTGTTAGACACAGAGAGCACTGGTTAACAGCAAATTTGTAATGAAAAATAAAAAAATAAAAAATAAAATCATTAATTCAAGTGCTTTTATTTTGACTGCGACCTTGTATGTCTCAGAAGCAAACTTATACTTTATGAACTTTCCATGTGTGTTTTTTTGTATAGTAAAAGCTTCCTAATGATAACTTTACAATCTTCAGTGAAATCAAAAATGGAGTTGCATTGCTTTTAGTGCATGTCTATTAGCTTTAAGATACATCAACACATTAAATAAAACCATGCTCACCGAGTAATTTCATTGGGTCTTATATTTAAATTATTCCAGTGAGCGATCTGAAACCGGACTATAGTACCGCTCTATATTCATATACTGGTTTTACGGACAGTGTGACATTTCATAAAAAGCGTAATATCTACTAGAGCACATCTGCAGTCATGAGGTGTTTTAACATTCAGTGTTCGGTAAACTGATGGAGAACATTACAGGGGAATTTCAGCAGTCACACAAACCCTATAACAGTTTTATCTGCTATTGCCTAATGGTCAGAGATTTGCAACCACGGCCCAGGGTCATAAATAACCCTTATCTGTGTTACACAGCCTGAGAATAGCCCCAAAAGAAATGCTGTATGTGTGTGTGTGTGTGTTTCTGACTGAGCGGTCTTACTTACTTGATAAGAATGAATGAACCCAGCTATTCTATTAGCATTTAATAATATAATGCGTTTAAAAATAAATATTTTATTTCTTAAGAGTGCACATTCCCTGTCAATTTTGTTGTTTTTCCCCATACACTGACATCCAGTTGAACTACAGAAACTGGATCGTGAACAAATCACTCCGTGAACTGGATCAACTGATTCACTATAAAGATCTGACTCAAAAGAACAATTCATTCACCACACAGCTGTTGCTTCTTTCATAAATTAAATAAATGAATGAAATGGTTTGTGGTTTGTCATCACAAAAACTTATTGTGGGACTTCAAAAGAGCTGTTTGAACTATTTTTACTATATTTCTGGGTGCTTTTTTTGGGGGGTGTAGCTTAAAAGGACCAGAGATTAGCCTATACTGACAAGATTACACAGGAAAATGTTGAAAAATGCAGGAACAGACTGAAATGTACATGTTATTCACTGAATGTCATGGTCACAATTCACTTTCAACAAAATACTTTTTATTGTAGCATTTAAATACAAGAAATACAATTTTAAAAATGTTTTTAAAAAAAGTAATTTAATTAAATTAAATAAATAAATAAATAAAAACAGTTCTTTCTGGCTATGCGAGAGCTGATAATGAAGCAAAAAGGAGTAATAAATACATAAATAAGTTAATTCATTAAATTTAAAAAAGGAATGACAGCAACTGTCCAGGAGTTGAAAATAAACTAAAATAAAGCCAGAAAAAATGAGGAGAAAATAATTGTATTCATTTATTAGTTTTTATTTAGTTTTAATTTTTTTACTTATTTGGGTAATCTTGTCATTTTTCATGTTATTTTATCATAGCTTAAGAGTATTGCATATTTACACAAATGAGTGAATATATTATAGCCCTTTTTGGAAATTACAAGAACAGTTATTCCAGTGGAAACAGACCAATTTAAAAAAATGCGAAAAGGAAGCAAATAAATAAATGAATAAATAAATCAATGTTCATCAAGAAAATTGTTTTTTAAACTCAAATGAAAAATGTTTGAGAGTCAACAAAAAAAAAAAAAAAAAAAAAAAAAAAAAAAAAAAAAGGAAAAAATAAATATTGTTGTTGTTGTTTGTTTAACCAAAACACAAAAATAACTTTGCAACCTGAAATTAATTATATATATCAGCTGAATTTTGGAATAATGTTATAAACTGCTGTCTGAACTTGCGGGAACAATGATGCATCATATTAAGTATAGTCAGAAGCGTTAACTTAGAGTATGTTTCCGAGTTCAGACCTAAGATAAAAGATAATGGGTGCCCACATAAGCAAAAACACACCCACCTATGAGCGAATACACAATGAATTGACTGGCTTTTCTAATTCACACTAAAAGCTTTAGGGGCTTTTAGCACCTACATCTCAACGAGCTGGGTAAAAAGCACTAAGAAACACTGACAGAGACCAAAGTAATGGCATGCATGAACGCAATCATAACTTCTTTCTGTGCTGAGTAAACCTTAAAACACCCACAAATAGTCCAGTGCTTTCAGAGCACTGATTTCAGATATTTACTCTCTCTATTACAGCTGTTTCACTGCAAATCCAAAGAAGCTGGTAACAATATGACCCTCTCTCCTCTATCTGCACCATCAGCTGAGCAACTTGGTTATTTGTCATTGAATGATAGCACAGAAAAAAAATGTCAACGTGAAATGTCAGCTTCATCTGAATGACAAGAATAGGAAGATCAGCAGAAGAATGAGTCACAACAGCAACAAAGAAAACACACCAAAAATCCACAACTGGCATCTAATGCGGTTGAAGCACTGTTTTCCTCATACGCAAGTGAAAACTCGCCATGATTTGTTAGACACAGGATTTACAACAAAGTACATACAGCACACAAGCATTTCATTTCTTCAAGAGTGCCAAACAACACATAATGAACCACATTTTTTAAAGAAAGTTTACGAAGTGCTTGCCTATGCACAACTCAATGCCATGATGTTTGAGATGTTTGAGAAAACTATACTTTTTGTATTACATTGCAGAGGTGTTCTGAGGGATTTCTTTGGCATTTCTAAGGTGCTCTGATGGTTTTTTAAAGACATTTTAAGGTGTTCTAAATGTTTTATAAGGAACACATTTTTCCATTCTAATGCACTACTTTCCCTTTGTTTTGCTATAGGTTGATGCAAAGACTCGTTCTGTGTGAACGGCCCCAAAGATAATCTTTGTGCAAGGGACCCCAATCCTAAAATTTTAAAGGGATTTATATATTTTCTTGTAGAAAGACACTTCTTCATTTTTATGTATTTAAATCAAATTTTTACTTATATATTTATTTTAATCTTATTTTTTATTATTTTTGTTCTGAGTGTGTTCAAGTGGATCTATTGTCTTGTATCTTAAACCTAATTCTGATCACACATAAAAGTGCAGCACAATCTCTTCATTGCCACACAGCTTGTGTCCATAGCACAAATGTCTGAAAAAAGTGTGTTCAAGTACGAAGTAGTAGATTTCTAGTAAAGCATGGCACTTGCAACGTCAAGGTCATGGATTCAATTCCCAGATAATACATGTAATGATAAAATACCTTGAAAGCAATGGATAAAAGATCTGACAATGCATTCTTGCATGCGTACTTATAAATTAGGGGTGTGTTCAAATCAATAATCCTAACTATGAGATATGGTAATAGTAATAATGAGGAAATAAGCAGCCGTTACCTACAGTCAATTCAATTTGAAGGCTACTTTGGTTTAGTGTCATCTTACAAAACATCCATTAGAGGCTGATTCGGTTAAGTTAAATGTCTTTAGGCAGCTGAGATTCAATACACTCAAGGAAAAAGGAAGTCGATTCACTCTGTGGCCAACTCAGCATCTTTCGGGCAAGAACAAATCTCCAATATGGTTTGCTAAGATTTTAACATGTCAAATCAAATAATGGCATCATTTTCTTTAGCTTTTCCTAAATGTGTTTTTCCACGAGACCTGTCTCTGACTCACTGCTTCTTCTCATATTTCATGCTTTTCAAACGTAATTAACCAAACTAAGCCAAACTCTGTTATTATAAGTATTGTGACCTCAGAAACCCCTAATGCAAATACAAGCGGTCGAGCCACTGCAGAGGGAGATTCCTGTAGTCTATCGATCTGATACTGACAGATACACAGGAAGTGAAGAAAGAAACGAGATTGAGCATTTAGACTACACAGCTCATAATATAAGAGGAGGAGATGGAGGAGATGGTAATAAATGGTTTGCGGAGACGATGGCGCTGCTGAAGGAAACGTGTCAACAGAGAAAAGGTCACAGAGGGAGAAATAAAGGTTTTCTGAGTGAGGAAGTACTGATGCTAACCGCTAATGACATCACCTCCAGCATGTTCGGGAATCTAGAATGCTTGCTCTTTTATGCTCACACAGGCTATAAAATGTGCCAGGTCATGCTTTATGACGCCATCATCCAAACGCTTTTATATAGTGCCTGACCACGATGTTGATTTTAGTAGAGTTTTTACTTTTTACTGTACATTATATACATTTATTATTATTATTATATACATACTACTTATATTTTAATTGTATATACAACATTTATTATATTATTTAAATTATTATTATATTATATTTATATTATTATTATATAAAATTGACATACTAGACCCTATTTTATTAAATTATATATACATTATATATTATATATATAGTAAATATAATATGTATATGTACACAAACACACACACATATACATATATATATATATATACATACTGTAAATGATAAAATAAATAACTATTATAAAATATAAAACTATAACATGCATTGACAATATTATATCATGTTGAACATATCAAAATGTATATGTATATATAAGCCATATGCTCGTAATATTATCTTGGAAATCAGCAACAATTTGCAACAATGTTCAATATGTTGCAGAAAATTAAACAAAGTTTGCAAGACATAAAAAACCCATCTACATAATCAATAACTGTAAAATATAGTTAAAACACAGCACTGACCCCACAGGGTAAATGTTAATTTTCTCAACTGGCTGAAAACTCTCTCACACTGGCCCATCTCTATTGCTTTTTACAACTTCTCTTTCCAAATCTCTCATCTTTGAAGTTGTCTTACTAACCAGCCTGAATATCCAAGGTTAAATACCACAAAACCATCAGTAAGATCCAGAGAGGTGCTCACTCAAAGTGGGGTTTCAAATTCACTGCATATGTAAGAAAGAACGCAGATTAGGGACAGCAAAGTCTGAAAACCAATCACAAAACTGGTGCCTAAAGCATGTTAGACAGGAAGTAATTCTCACATTACCGCTAACAGAT